TTTCGTCGGTACTCATAATACAAAAATGTGACTCGAGAATCTTCGAGATCTTTGGGGTCGCGTAAAATTAGCAAACGCACGGAGAGCGAATCTTAAGTATCTATCGAGATCCCTTCACCAATTAATAAATTGGGAGACTCACCGGAGCTGGTGCAGCTAATCCGTGGAGGCCGAGAACTGTATTCCAAGGGCACTACACTAAAGCACAGCACTACACTTTCGGAACACTCACAGGAATTCATAGAATTACCTGGATATCGCGAGAACAACGCGAGAACTGTACGAACCGAGAACTTGCTATACCGTAGCGAAACACGGCAAGAAAAACTATCAACAAACAGCACGCGAGCGCGGGCCAGCCCGTGACACCTCGGTCGGTGCCCGGAAACAAACTGCTTTGACAATAGCCAAACTGCAATAGCCAAATGCCAAATCCGAGAAGCAATCATTCTGATTGGTCGAGCCAATCAGAGCCTTTTAACCAATAACCCTTCTATCTCCTTCCAGTCGTCCCTTTAAACCAAATCGAGAGCATTTCTTAACGAATCGGTACGTAACTTTTGGAGATTATTTATAGAAGTATTATGAATATGGATGATGAAATATAAAATATGAATCACATATACGAGAACGTATATAATTTGTGTACAATCCATATTTGTTTCACGTGGGTTCATTTTCATAATTTCTCTACTCGTTAAAGTAATGAAATTCTTGTGTCTGCTGGAAATTGCGCGCCTAAGGGTCATAGTCCATGAACGTAATCCAGGAGGATGATGGTGTCGAAATAGGTATGGCTGAAGGACGATCGCTTCAATGGTCGTTTTGATCGCGTAAATCGCAGCACCCGTGCGTATCGAGGAGAAACGCGAGCGAGTGAGGCTCGAACGTACAATGAGCCACTAAGATGAAGTTTTCTCCGCGTCGCCTAATCCATATTAATGAGACACGGACTGCGCAGCAAAGGTCTTCTGGTTCTTCTGGTTCTTGTGGTTCTTCTGATTCTTCTGGTGCGCTATTCATCCCACAGTGATAAGACCGAGATGGCTTTCAATCAGGAGGGTTGAGGAGTGCTCGTTGAGGAAGGCTCGGGATACTTTCGTTTTCGTTGAATTTCCAAAGTCAGAAGAAATCAGAGAGCAATTCGCAATCGAAGCGCTCGCCCGTTTGCAAGCGGCTTCTTCGTTTTATACTTTTTTTTTGTTCACCTGTATCAGTGACTGATCTTGTTAATCATCGTTAAAGCAAATCGGGAACGAAAAGCAGATAGAAGAAGGAGGCACTGGATCAAAATACAAGTAAAAACAAAGTTGGTTGAGTCCCGTTTCGCGTGAATACAGTCGCGAACAAAGAAAGCGGAAATGTGAAGCCGACAGCATCGGAAGAGGGGCACGAGGAAGAGGATGAGGATTCGATGAATTGAAAAGACGGGCAGAGCTATCTAATGTATATTGATGAGCCAGCGCGAGAGGAAGAAAGTCAAAGGCGCGTCAGATGTACGTTGGTACCGATGAATCCAGAATCCCACTGCCGAGGATTTTAGTGGGCCGCCTGAAAAATTTGAGCAGGTGGAGGTGAGACAGAGGACAGAAGGAGGAGGAGGAGGAGGAGGAGGAGGAGGAGGCCAACCGATGCATTTCATTCGGGGTGTTCCAGATCATTGGATCGCACCCTGATGGCAAAGATACTAGAAGATGGATCATTCCTATTCAATGGATGGATATTCAAGATACCTCTTTCATTTTATTTCAATTTTGAGAACAAGATCAGCTTATTCGCTAATTTTGATGCCAAGCTCTCGCAGATGTTCTTTTCAGTTTTGAGTTTTCGACTTGCTTTCCTTCATCTTTTTCGTTTATTTTTTTGGCATCTAAAAGTCGATTCCCCTAGAAAAAGAATATCTTGGTTCGCTGGCGAAATAAGCGATTCTCAATGTTCTTGGGGAACAGGCGATCAACTGGAGGAACAGGCGAGGAAGGACTTGCCTATCGTTCGAAATTCATAGCCGAGATTCCTCTTTTGCATTAACCCCAATCGGGACGGGCTCGTAGTCGTCTCCAGTCGGCTCTTGCGGATCGTCCTGACCATTTCCGGCTGCGTCCACCTCACGCCCTCGCTTCTACTTGCTCTCGTTGGACCGACGAGTGATTAAGACGCGGCAGACATGGGAGACATCGCGAGGAAACGAAGCGCAGTGTCATACCACTGCCATCGTCAGTTTTATCAGTATGGGGCGACAATGGTTAAAGAAAAGATTACGGAACGAGAAATCAGATTTGCGCTCGTGTGTGAGAATCTTGCATGTCACTTTGTCCCTTACGCCTGATAACGTTAATTGATAATGCCCATGCAGTTAGTGATTTAGTCCTCTTGTGCCATTCACGTTGGATACGTATAAACTTATCAAGCAATTAGGATTCCGATGTTCCTTGTCATAGTCGAGAAATCCGTCAACCGCTAGTTGCGAACATGAATTTCTGCGTTACCCTTCGTTACCCTTCGTTAACCCATCTGACGTTAAATGTTCTTTGTCGACGCTTCCTATTTTTCATGGAAAATATGGAAAATATGGAAAAGTCTTTAGTCGGTGGACGGCGCTGCAGGATCTTTGAGAGCTTCGAGAAGTTGGAGAAGTTCGACTGAAGAGTAGAAAGCGTCGCGCGAAACGTTCTTTCACATGCTAATCCAGAGGGCGGACCTTACTTCATGAATAGCTACGGTCAAAGCCCGACCCGACTCGACTCGCTGTTGCTGCTCTTCTTTCAGTATACAATGTCAGAGTTCCGCTTTCCCGCGTCTTTGTTCCTCCAGCAGTTTCCTAGGTACCAGTCTCCCTGCCCGACTGCCTGTCGTCCGTTCTATCGGAGGCTTCTGGTAGCACGGCGCTAGATATATCCATGTAGATTGCAAGAAAAGGTCGGAGGAAGGCTGCCCTTTGCGTTTCGAAATGCAACTCGACACTTTCCTTTAAGACGGCTAATTGTAAGACATTCAGTAATGAACACTTTCGGCTTGAGAATTAGTGTAATTACAATATTATTCGGCTGCTTTCGTTCTCCCACTTCGCGATACATTAAACATGAAGATCTGCAATGAACTGCATGAATGCATCGCAGTTCGTTGTTGTCTACAGAAGAACAGGATGAAATTAGTCCTACGGGAATTAATAGTTCAAGGACGTTTATCAACTTTTGAGAGCAATGGCATAACTGTACAGTTTGGCTGGCAGTTTGGCGACACTTTTGTTCTCTTATAGTTTGCGATAAAGACGAAACGAGCCTAGCGACCACCACCCTCCCATGAGGACCAGAATCCAGCATTCCAGCAGTGTGGGAGTCCGGGGTGTAAAAGGGCTGCCTACCCCACGTGCTGCGCTGCCGTGCATACAGAGGACTCATGTATCCCTGATGTAGCTCGATAAATATTTAAACACAGCATAATCGGCCGGATTACCCGAAGGACGCTACTGGAACGCTCCCAGGTCTCTTTGCCTTTCTCTCAGTTCCAACCGGATCGGTAGGCAGCATCTTTAAGGCTCCATCTTCCAGAGACCCGGAATTCAAAGGCAACAAGGGAATTGACATTGGGACAAAATTGAGATTTCGAGTTTTTAAAACGAATGTATCGATTTCTCGAATGATGCGAATTCGTTACGCACAATTCTTCGACTTCAATGGTTTCTCACTGTTTTTCATTTTCGACGGACTCTTTCGTCGCCTCGTGTGACAATGAGGCTGAAGGAGCGAACGACGAAGAAAACACGGCGCGATCCATCGAATGGACATGCTGGCAAATAGTTTGGCGGAAATCGAGTTAGGTCTCGCCGGTGGGTTGTTGGGAGGGTAGGAGGAGGAACGGGAGAACGATTTATTGGGAGCTGGGGCTACCGGAGGCCCCGTGGGAACATATTACGCGGGAGGGCTGCGGGGAGGTGTGCTTGCGAATCGGACGAATCGAACGAATCAATGCGAAGCAGCAAGAGCAATGGAATTTGGTGGTTGGGCAATTTTGTGCTCTCCCAGTTGAAAAAACCGTTTACGGTTAGATGCTTCTGCAGTCCCTCTGGCGCTGAGCTGCAGACTTTTCCCTTTTATCTTTTCGACTTGCCGCTCTCCCGAATATTCGTCTTCTCTCCTAGTTGCGTCATTGCGCGGTTACAGCTGTTCCTATCATATTGTCACTATCTTCTATAGCACAGGCTACAGTTTATAGGGACGGAGAATCGAGAGCCACGATGCGAGACTTTTCAGGGCCGAGATTCTGACGGTTCCAGATAAGTACGCGCAGGTTTTGTCAAATATTCCCTGGGCACCCCCCACCCCCACCCACACACACACACACACACACACACTTAGCACGTCCGTATGCAAACTCGAAATTACGTATTCATCGGTTCCCTGGGCACCCCCCACCCCCACCCAACTTTTCAGGGCCGAGATTCTGACGGTTCCAGATAAGTACGCGCAGGTTTTGTCAAATATTCCCTGGGCACCCCCCACCCCCACCCACACACACACACACACACACACACTTAGCACGTCCGTATGCAAACTCGAAATTACGTATTCATCGGCCTTTGCTATTTGTAACCGAGAGCCGGCAAGGCAATTAATTTTCAAACGCATTTATAATGGAACCCCATCAATCAAGCGGCTAGTTATGTGCCGCACGGCCGCGCGCTCTGGCATTTCCTCGCACCTCTTCGCGTACTACCCCCCACGCCCCACGCCCCATAGCGGCCATCACGAACCGCTCGAGTGATAATTAATTTTGAAAAATTATTAATTACAATAATTACGATAATTAGAATAATTAGAATATACATGGCTCGCTCTTTTGCTGGGCAACCGGAAGTTTAATTAGAGCGCTTAACTGTAAAACCTTAATTCTCCTTCTTGTTTTCGGTGGCTCGTGCACGTCGCACGTGCGTGTGCACTCCTGTAATGTCTTTCATAGGATACGCATTAATAACATATTCGAAAAATTCTTCTATGTTCCAGGTACGTATTCGGCCAGATGTTTGACGTTGCCGGCACATATTGCCTCGAGTCATCGACAAGGTAGACTGCTCGACTGCTCGACTGCTCGACTGCTCGACTGCTAGAATATGCTAGATTGCTATAGTGTCGGTCATGCATGACAATTTATACATATAGATGAAAACTCACAGTCAGAAGAGCCATCGCTATACCTTATTCTTTGAAACCTGCAATCCTGATGACAATCCTCAACTAATAACTTTACAAAGTAGCTACGTAGCTACGTAGCTACGTAGCTACGTGGCCTCGTGGCTACCTAGGCACATGGATACGTGATCAATTGGCGAACGTCTCACAATTAGTTAAATCGGCCTGTATTACATGGTGTCTCCCATACAGGAATTTACGCGACGATGCCTTAGCATTTATTAGACCGTTAACCAAGAGACGTTTTACCTTCTGCAAAATGGTAGCTCCTATCAGAGCCGCCTTCCGCGAGGTAAATGCTGCAGCTTACCAAAATATAAAGAACAAGATATAGAAAAATATATCATTAAAAGTGTTAAGATAGTCCAAATTATTGCAGAGTACTGGCCTACGGAATACAAATCTAGAGAGCATCGTTGGACTAAATGTTCCTTGTCCACTGAATTAGCCGGGTCCGTCGAAATTGGCCAAAGTACCTGCCTCAAATTCAATCCCTCGGAAACGGCGATTGGGGTTTTTCGAGGGAAATAGGCAATAGCAGAGCAGCGCCCCAGTATCAGTGGCTGTAGGTGCTCATTAACTTTTATTAATCCAAGGCAACAGAGCCAGCAGTGCAAGACTTGGGAAAACAGGGTGCTCGAGAGCTGACCTGGCCCTAGTCATGAGGACTAATTAAAAATAATTGAGGTTACTCTTAAAGTCTTAAAGCGCCCACACTCCTCCCCATAGCCAGTATGCTGGCGTCGATCAAATCGTCCGGAAAGTTCGATCCAAGTTTTTGTTTCGCGCTTTCCACCGTACGCGCTATCGAGTCAAAGTGCTGAAACTTTTTCAATCGACATTTTCTCTGGCAAGAGTGCGGAATGCCTAAAAGGCATTTAGGGCCGTAGAGGGTCGCGCAGGCTGCCTTTGATTGACAGGTCAATTATGAACCGTAAAAAGCATCAATCTTTAATTCTATATAAATCAGAAGTTCCGATGGGAAAGAAGCGGTAGAAAAAGTTAAAAGTTTGACTGTAGTGAGAATGATTGCGGGGTTTCGAGAGAGTCAGGATTTTTTAAATATCTTCAAAATTTTATAGTCGAATTATACTCGACTTGCATCGCAGTGACGTAGCGCTACTAAAACAATCAGCCAAAGAATCGTCGCGAAGCCTCAGGATCTCTTCTCCTTAAAAATGTTCTTGTATTCCGGGATGATAGACTTTCCGGCTGATCCCTTTTTCTCTTGATTTGATCAAGTAAATCTCGATGTACAAGACAATCGGAACAATCGGAACAATCGGGACAACCGGGACAACCAGGACAACCAGGACAACCGCTCCTCCTAGCCTCCTCTCAATCCTGCCCGAAGCTAAACGGTCAGGCAGTCAGCCAGTCAGCGGGCCAAGCAGCCAGTTAGGTCTCTTCGTCCTCCTGTCCTCGTCTCTGCCAAAGAAACGGACAGTAAACACTCTCGATCGACCGCGCGGTGCCCACCAAACGAAAGCCTGGGACAAAAACTAGATAAATGGCGGCTGGATGGCGAGGGTGGGCCAATCTATCACGCCCCGGGGGACTGTTATTGACAGTGCAAGAACCGTCTAACCCTCGGACCTCTTACACCGCGTCACTCTCACCCTCGCCCAGACCCCCCTCCGCCCCACCCCAATACTTACATCCAGACATCCACGACCGCACCCTCAGCCTCGCTATCACCCTCACCCTCATCCTGACCCTCTGACACACTACCTAACCCACTCTGACGATTTGCTTCCCTCGACCCCCTTTCGATTTAGCCATCTTCCGTTCACCCGGCACCACCACCACCACCACCACCATCACCACTAACGTCACCTCTGTTCCCATCACTTCTTGGAAAAAAGGAGAACATGAAGAATTGTCACTTCTCGACTTACCTTGGTAACCATCAAAGCAGACATATAATACGTTTCAGTTGAAACTGAAAAGAACCTGACGGTAAAAGTCCAAGACAATGGTCCAAACAGGTGGAATTTTTTAGCATGTCCTGACATAACCTTAGAGTTCATCGATACCGAAGGCAACGGGATGCGCTCGTTCCGGTGAGTTCGAAAAATTTGGCGCTGCTATCTGGCATACGGCTTGTGTTTATACATATATGTATACACGTATTAACGAGGACCCTACGTTGCTCCTACTGGTGAAAGTTAATTTCACTGAAACATTATTTCACTTCCCAAATTTTCAAATCAACATTATAAATCTGCTCTATCTCTCGAGATACCTACATCTTTTAAAAGTAGCATACATAACCAACAAAGTGCGCACTGGCTGCTGGCTGCTTACTGCCCACCGCCCACTGGCCACTGGCCACTGGCCACTGCCTCCGTTATGACGGAGTCCTCAACTTATCCTAACGAAACCTAACATTTTTCACCGTTTTCCAATTTCCAATTAAAAAGCGAGAAGAATGTTTTCATGTAGCTATGAGCCAACGTGCGAGCGGCTGTTTGGCTGTTGGGTTGAGTTCAATAACGATGCTAGCTACTAGCATTCATCCTGCTAAATTAGGTCAGTGTACTTCCCGTGAAATACTTAGAGACACGCGCGAGATGACCTAAATAATGCGGCACGCAGTGCCCTTTTAAATATTTATTCAACCATTTTCTAAATAGCTCTGAGCTTCAAACCCGATTATTCTACCTTTCTCTGGTTACGTGATGTCATGGCCTGAGTGCGAATGCCACATGATAGATCACAGTTGTGACGCCATTGAAATCCTAGCCGAAACAAAACATTCTCTCCGTTTCTTAGTTTCTTAGTTTCACTTTATTTATTAGGGCTCTTTCCGCTTGTATGGGGGCCAAATGTTCAGTCAATATTTATCATGCAATTGTACGTGATCGCCACGCCTCGTTAAAATTTGGCAAGGAAGTCATTTCTCAGTCATCCAGAATGGCAATAGACCAGAAGAGCTGACTACTGCGTGCGCTCGTTGTAATAATAGATTTCACATAACTGATATATCTGTTAATTGTCATCAGTATTAAATAATATTTCGTACGGACGACTGAGACGCGGAATACTAATGATCGAGCTGCGCTTCGTATCGTAATAATTAAAAGTTTTAATAGTAATATGAAAATCATTTAAATTCTGCACTCAATTGATGGGAATATTCCGGTATCGGTATAAGGACCAATTCTCAGATTACAGAATCCATTGGGAAGACGTTGACTCGATTAAATAGGAAACGATACTCCCACTATCTCCACATCGTATCGCGCTCGGCCATATTGCATGGTGGCACGGCCCAGCACGGCCCAGCACGGCCCAGCACGGCCCAGCACGGCCCAGCACGGCACAAAGCGACAGGACAGTCTGAACACGAAGCGGGAGAAGACGCGTCACGACACGGGGAGAGCCGGGACTGCGAGGTCGCATTTACCAGTCTAGTCGATAGGAGACGCTGCAATTCCCGTTGGACTTTATCGATTATTTCGCGTTCAATTTGCTCGATGAGTTACCGTTGCATTATGCGAATTCCCTGGTTTGACAAGAGTTAGGTCGCGGCTTAATGTTCAAAAAGCTCCCGGCTGATCACGATGGCTCATTGTATTATTGCTTTTTCCTTCGAAAACTTCAATACTCTGACAGCGTGTTTCCCGTTGATCCAAAGGCTCTTTCCATACTTGCCCATACTATCGAAAGACTGCTGTTGTGCTTATGTTTTAGGCGGCACATAACGACAGCTGGTTCGCAAGAAACTAACATACTGAAAAGAAATAACGCTGTAATAAATTTTGTCGAAAAATTGCAAGAGAACTTGAATGTTCGGTGAAATGATAAAATGTGGGAAAATTAAAAACTATTATGTTTTGTCAAGCCAACATTAGGCCAAGAAGAGTCGCGAATAAGAATGAGTGAGTGAATAAATTCGCGTCACTCGCTCAGTCACGCACTACCCGGGAGTTAATAATCCTGAGTAATGTAGGACAGCGAATCGGAGGACGATGATAAACGTCCCACGCGCGCGACGTCCGAGCCTAGGAAATTAATATTTCTAACTGTAAAGTGGTAAATGCCAGCCTCACGGGTTCCGAGAGAGGAACGGAGGCACATGGGAAAAAGTATACGACGTCTACCTGCCTGTGATTTAGGGGTTGTAAATCTTCTTCGTTCTTCGTGTAATCTGGCTCCGAGCTAGCGACTTTGCGTGATATGGAGATAATTACACCGCCCTTCCCCCTCTGCCCCAGAAAACGTACCACATCAATTTCACCATTCAAGTTCATCAGGAGCCACCGGCCCTTCTTGCTCGCTACCCTCCTCTGCCTCTTGCGATGACTTGCTCGTGATCGCCTATTCTAACACCCAAATTGAAAATCCAGCAGCAGGTTGAGCCTGTGCAACCTCCGTTCCTTTGTTGTTTCAGGCTGCCGACCGAAGTTTAACGCTGGTTTCACCCTACGAGATCCTACAGGCAGAACTTTGAGGCCAATGCTGGGTTTAACAAAAGCGGGTAAACACAGATTTAGACCCGAATAACCGAAAACGAATCGTAACCGGATATCCTAGCGCAATCATTAATTAGGCTCTTCAGACAGAAAATGACTCGAATTACTTTTACGAATTATTTTTGGACAAAAATGACAATCTGGGGCTTAAACTAATTTTCGATGAGAAACTCAGTCGAGTTCCCCTAGACAGCTTCCCTTGGAACTTGAACTAGCTTTTTCGTAGCTATAGGTAAATAGGTGGAAGAGTACGAGAACCAATCGTATAAGAAGTAGCGGGCTGCAACCATGTTAATAATTAAAGGCAACGATTTATTATCAGCCCCGTTACTTGTTAATCAAATTTATCCTGCGAAAAGTGGCGTTGACACGTTTCTGCCTTCTGACAGGAGGAACAGAAGGATGATGGATCGAGAAGGGAGGACGAGCGAACAGAGGAAAGCGTCATAACAGCCATTTCGTAATTGCACCAGCAGTGATTCCTTCCCATCTTATCTATCGTGAGGCTCATCAATAATCCTGTTGGAATATATGTATAGGACTATAGGTAAACCTTAGCGCGACGTTTTACTTGAACGAGAGTGCGGAAGATATGAGGTATATGCTGGCTGATTGGCTGACTGGCTGACTGGCTGATTTGCCATCCCGATCTGATAGGAAAAACAGGGTGCCGCGAGAGGCGGGAGAGTCACAGTCCTTGGGGGCTTTTAGACGTTATTACCGCGAGCTGCTCCCGGCCCTTCGGATATTAAATTTCGAAATTTATTCATCTGGCCGGAATTCGGTAAACGGCTTCGCGTTCAAGGCTGGTCGCGATCTGTGGACGCGTGACATGGATCAACAGATCATTGGATCGCAGTTCCGATCGTTACAGACCTCTCGTACGGTTACAGGCACTCGCATATTAATAATTAGTCAATTTTACATGAACCTATACAGTAAAATGGAGGGGCAGTCCATTGTACAAGTCATTGTAATATATGACATATAATATTAATAAACAATATCAAAACAAAGTATTATATTCTTATTACTTCTGGGACGTTTGGGGTAAATTTTTGGAAAATTTAAAAATCTAAAATCTGAAATACGTGGATCCACCAATCACCTGATACGTTTTCATTGTATCAAATGGGTTAAATTCAAGCATTTAAAATGTTCTTAAGACCTCTAAAGATCATCCCGTCTGGAGTTGGCCAAAAAAAAAAGAGAATCCACGAAACTTAAAAATGGCAAATGCCAAGTGCCTAGGAGTAAAGGAGCAAAGAAAACAGTAGTTCGTCGCTAGATTCACTAGCGACGAACAGCAAACCGTTGTGCCGGTGTGAAAACCTGGCAACCCGGCAACCCGGCAACCCGGCAACCCCCAACCTGGAAACCTGCGGGGACTTTGGAGGGTAGGAAACTAATTAGCAGGTACAAAGGATACGCGACATCATTGTGATTGTCACCCCAGACGGAAATGTCAGCTCTGCTCGCGACGTGTACCACGCACTTAAACACTCCCGCATTTGTTATCACGTGCACCCTGCGCATGATTAACGACCAAAAGTAATTGTTATGTATCAGCTAACGACCGTTATGTGAGAGCCGGGCTGGGGATCAATGTGCGACTTTCAAAATGGAATTGTTCCCATTACTCGGAATCCCAAAGAGATGCAACGAGACGGACATTGCACCGACTGTGCGCCAATAGAACCGCAAGCGCAGTGAAGACGCAAGGAACAAGAAGCCGTTAAAACGTGGGAAAGTGAAGAAGCCAAGAAGTACTTTGAGTTTGAATTTAATTGAAATTGTTATTCATTTGTATCTGGCCTGAGAACAAGGGTCACACGCTCCAGTCGATTTAAACTTCTTCTACCATTCGATCCTTTCGCTTTTCTTCTGAAAAAGGGCACGATTCTTGAGTGCCGCCATTGTCATTCTATGGACTTGGCTCTTAACTTAGATTTCGAGCCTTTCGCATATAATATTCTCTATAACAATACAACGAATGTCATTTAATTCTTCTTGCGTAATATGACCAGCAACATATCCAATTAAAAATGTCGTTGGTATCGATATTCCTAAAGACAAATATAATACGGACAAATACATTACCAGTCGTGAGAGCTGGATGCTGGAGCGACGAAAGCTTCCTTTCATTCTGCCGAGCTATGCTGTGCTTCCGTTGACGTTCCTTCTTCCTTGGGAATATGGTATATGGAATATGGTCGAGGCTCGAGAATTGGCTGCTTAAACAAAAAACAGATTCCATCGTTAGCGAACCAATAGATTATTCAAAATTAAAAGAAACATATCGGCGAAAGGCGTCTGCGACGGCATAGCGGATAACACGTGAAAATTCATATGTTGCAAGTGTACTGCGAACTCGCGAGATCCTGCGGGGGCTTGGTAATAAGTCGATTCTTGAAAATGTTCACGTGGCCATGCCAGTTAATTTCTCAAATTTGAGTAATGCAGTTGATTTTCGTAAAACTTGGAAGGCGTGCGTTTTAAGCCGAAGCCATTTGTACCGCCGTGCACGGGAGTCATCCCCCAGCGGCGCACTTAAGCGTATGCACCCTTTAGGCGTCCCAGGCTCGTTCGCTAGAGCTAACGCTTTAACGCTAACGTAATACGTAACGTCTACTACGCTAACTTATATTGCGTCGAGGATTACCACGTCGGTTCTTATCTGCGCGCTCCAGGTGCCTCCTCCTGGTACCCTCGGCCGGAGTTCGGCCGCTCGCGAAAACGCATATTTCAATTTGTTGCCATCCCAGTCGGTGGGCGCCGGAGCCCGAGGGGTCGCTCCTTGAAGCACGCTGACGGGGGGGCTACCGGGGGCTACCCACGTGGCGCGCGGTAGGAGGAGGAAGAGCCAAGGCCCAGAGGACCGAGCACCACTCCAAATTGAACGGAGCGTCTTCATTTACCTAGTTGCGCCTAAAGGGAAACCCGAATCTGGCCGCCACGACGCGCGATTTCGCCTTGAAAGTCAATCAATTTTCCACACCGCACTGCAAACAAATCACCGAGTCGTCGGTGATCGAGGACTCGGTAACGAAGATGATTGAAAACTCCTGCCCCCGACGATTGGTATCTCATAATCTTGTTAGCCGATTAATAATAACCAATCTCGAGGTGATTTCCTCTTGGCTCGACCAATCAGAAGACGCGCCCTCATTTCCGGACTTTCGCCGTAGCAGCCCATGCATCCTAGTCAAGGGACAATCCAATTTTTCAGTAGCTGCCTTCCGAACATCGACGCCAATTCTCATACACGGCGATGCTTTAAATCTTGCAAATAAGACATTGCTACGCGTATTCAATATATTTCGACTGTTTTCGAGAGCTTTCTCAGGTATACCATCCATAAAGAGCCTTTTCTTAGTGCAGTGGAACCTCAGCTAGCTTACATAATGCGCAGACATGCGGACAAAAAATCAAAAGTCATATAAGTCACATGCGTCTCGCTCGCGCGCACCCACCAGCCTGCGTATAAGAGCGTCTTGCATCGACTCATAACCTGTAGCGGCACAAAGTCCTTGCCGGCGCCTAAGGGTATCGGTGGAAGCGAGAGAGCCCTTTGTTTTGGCTGAGACTTGCGTCGGCGCGAGCTCGTTGTCGCTCTCGTTAAAGGCTATTTTGCTATTTGCTATTTTGTCGCTAAAGCGAGCCTCCATTGTTTCTGACAGCTTGGCGGTCGCGGTATCCTCTATCCCCTCTATCCCCTCTATCCCCTCGGCCGTCCAGAACTCGAGCGTTATATCCGTCTTGATCGTTTTACGAGGGAGCGAAATACTTGAGCGGTCGCTGCGAACCTAGCGTCACTGCCGCGTTACGGCTCTCTCCTGGCTCTCTCCTGGCTCTCTCTCTCTCTCTCTCCTAGCTCCTAGCCATTCTCTCCGGCTCGCTACTGCGAGCTTAAATATTCGAGACTGAATCGCGGCGTCCCGACCATTCGTTCTAAGCTTTATTTACCACGAGCGCCGTTTATGACGAGGTGAAGCGTCGCTTCCACCTCTGACATCATTTACCTTTCGTACTGAAATGGCTGAGCGTGACTTGCTTATACAGATTAAATAACAAAATGTTTCTATTGCTCCTTCATCTTTTACATTTCCAACTTTTTTCTTCTGTTCTTTTTATTCCATCGGCAGTATCGTTAAATTGTGACACAAGGTAACATCTTTTGTACATCGACGAAACCACTGTGGGTCCACTGATGACCAACGAAACAATGACTAATGACGTTTCCTCGATATTTGCCCCAACGCATCAACGCGTCTCTGGTCCCCTTAGCAATTACCTCGTAACTCTTGGGCTCTGGGTGTCTCATTATACCAGGCTTTCAGATACATTCGAAATGCAGCAAGCAAAATCGCTTCCTTTCAGTTGATTGTCAATCAGAATTCAGTTTATTCAGCATTTACGGCATTAACTTCCGTCACGAGTTTAAATACTCCTACCAATAGGCTGATATTTACCCTCTTGTTCAATGATTCCGATACATTTCACAGGTTAGAAATATCGGCGAGGTGAGTTGTTTAATCGAAACCAAGAAAAAAGGTTAAAAGAAGGGAAGTACGTAAAAACGAAAGGAAGGGAACTCGTCGGTTTCATAAACGTCCAGATGGAGAAAAGTCAGGTTACTGCCCGGCAAGAAGGAGGGTACATATTGATGCGATTTTTTACTCCAACGCGTTTCATCGCGACTCATTCAGTCCCCATTATTTCCTTATCAGAGGAGCCGTCCGATCGGAAAAAAGAAATCCAGCCTCTAGCGGTTTCCTAGCTTCATCAATAATACTAAGTGTTCCGAGATGATACCAGACTTTCGACTGTAGCTGGTTCTGAATCTTTCAGATTTACAGTAACTATAATACTTATTATTCGAACATCTAAATGACGGAAATATATAAGACAAAAGCTGCAAGTTTTTGGCCACCCTGAGAAAATTCTACATCGTGTCAGCAGTAAGGGCAAAATGCTCAGATAAAATAAAAGAAATTAGACGGCTTATGATGCACTGATGCGCCAATGCGCTAATGCGCTGATGCACCTCGTAGCTTTAGGATTTATATAGTTTGCCTGGGTCTTTTGACTGGAAAATACAGCGAGAATGTGCCCAGCTTATCCAAATCTATGCATTCGTTTACAGGGACTTTGCTGTGGTGAATCCGAACCACATACCCGTATACCACCTATGCATATCACTGATACGGGGTATATATAATTTGATGCATAGTTTTGACTGTGCGATCGAATTACTGACTTACTGACTGACCGATTAGGCGCCGTCACTTGTGCACGTGCTTCAATCTCAATGTGCACTTTTTTTTTCACTTTCCATTTTTTTTTGCTTCTGTCGCTCTCTCTCTCTCTCTCTCTCTCTCTCTCTCTCTCTCTCTCTCGCACGCTCACTCTCGCGCTCCATCATCTTGCTATAAAAGGCTTCAGCATAATCACAAGAATAAACGTTGCTTGGTGATGCTCAGCTATGTTTTCTTGAAAGCTGGAATGCAAAATGGTACTCTAAATTACGTCACGGGGTGTAAGGATTATCGTAGGTGCCATAGATCTGTCGTTCCTGCTCGTTCGCGAAGGCAAAGAGGCTGTTGTTTCAGCTCGCTATGGTAACAAACGCCAGGCGTAAGCTGACTCCTTTTTCAATGCTCGTCATCCTCCCTCCTTCATCTTCTTCTCTTTATATCCAACCCTATGCTCTCTTTCTGTCTTGCAGATTAGCTTTTCTCAATTGACTCGGATACGATTCCACTTGCGCAATATTTTTTCCATTACTAATGAGCGTCTAGCAATGATTATGACTTGTGACTCTGCTGGAATGAAATCGAAATGAAAATTAAAAAAGTCGTAGCTCATGAGCACAGAGGCGACTTTAATGACGTAAATTGTATGAGAGCATTAATTGGAAATTAAAGTAAAGAAGTTAAGGGAAAAGTATGATAAGAGTGGAGTGATAGTAGAAACAAAAGAGAAAAGATATTGCCGACTCCGTAAGCCACGGTACAAAAGAATACAAAAGAAAGTATTTTCTAGGTTAATCGGTCATTCGGCTGCTCGCCAAAATACATTTGAAATCTTTTCGCGTCAACAGGTGAGTTGCGCAATTTTTTTTCTCTTTTTCACATACTTTTCCACGCGGCGCACACTCGATGCGCGCAGGCGGTACAGCAGCTCGTACGTATTTCATTAAGAATTGATTCTCATTCGGTCGTCTCCCATGTAGTCAGTATCCCGCGGCATTATCGATCTCTCGGAAGTTCGGTGTATCTTTGTGATCGTTGGACGCATTAGGATGGCATTAGGAAGTCTAGACGAATGGCTCCTCCGCAGATTTCGTAGGATCTCTAGAAACATACGGCAAAGTCCAAAGCATTCTATAACAAAAGTGCGACGATAGACTAGCAATGGATCTGGCAAATATCATCGATAATTTTGACTAATAAATCATTTTGGCTAAGATTATTCAATTGAATTATATTAAGCATTGCAGCTATAGCAATGAAGGTGGGGAAGGGAGGGGGGGGGGACGTAAAGAAAATTGAATAAAAGCCTAAAATATATAACAAACGTCAGCGATTGATCTTCCCTAGATCTAGTATCAATCTATTTGATCCGAAAGCTATACCGTCTAGCTATATAATATGTGAAGATACGTCTTATTGTTAGATCATACGTGATCGTCTCATTAGATACATTATCGTACTCGGATCTTGTGTGTATTATCAAATAAGATGTACGAATTATTTATACAGTTTCTACATATTTTTCCACGGATGAAATTGAAAAATTAAATAACTTGTAGCGCAATCGAAGGCGAAGGTTTAATTAATTAAGGCGAAGGCCACCTCGCGCGTCTGTTACTTCCTGTTCCCATATTTTGACACTTGTTCGTCAAGAAATCTCATTATCCTCTCATGGAGAATCGCACTACTTTTCTTACGTCGCGTGGCCTTCGAACTTTCATCCACCGCCCATCCACGCCTCCAGACTCCTGAGTCCTGAGTCCTGAGTCCTGAGTCGCGACCAATTAATCATATTAATGTCTGCTGAGTCGCAGCAGCAGAATTCTCATGGACGCGACAGCTGCCCCTAATTGCTCACTCTCTAATAAACTCGGTTCTCCATTTACTCATTGCTTAAAAAACTCTGGAAGAAATGGACCACAGTTTATCCTGCTCTCCCGAGTTACAATTAGTCAAGTCCAAATCTGCGAACCCAAACTCAAAGGTTAGCGTAGACACGCGTGCCGTCGAATCAACTCAAAACGGGAGGAGCTTTCACGAGAGTTCTCTAGAGCTCGAGTTAAGAGTAGCCGCAGGACTTTGCGAAGCTGGTTTCTTCTTGGTTCTTGCACCGCTCCTGTTCTCAGCATTATGCTCCCTTACCGTTTCTCGAACAGTAGAGACAACTGTTCCACAGCTATTTGAGCTATTTGAGCTATTTGAGCTATTTGAGCTACGCTGTGGCCTAAATGCCCCGATCAATATTCATTCACTGCTCCATGATTCTTCTAAGGTGCGTTCTTCGACTGCGCACCACGAATGAAAACGTCCACCGTTAAATATTCAATGAAATTAGGAACAGCGTTGGGTTATCGTCATTGGGATATCGTCATCAGCTGGCGCGGAGCTACCGGTGAAATCTATTGTAGATTACTGAGATGCTAAGCGTAACATCCAAACACATAGGATGATCGTACTGCGCCCGAAAGGACGAGATCGGTCTTTGCTTCTTCTTCTTCTTCTTCTTCTTCGTTGGCGATTGCTGCCTCGCTGCAATCGTCACAACCCTTTGTCTGCCTGCGGGGGTGCAGGCGATCTGGCAGAGCGAAATTACGATGAATGTGTGTTAATGTGTGTAAATGTGTGTAAATGTGTGTGCGGGAGGGGCAGGAGCAGGGGGATATAGTGACTTGGGCGGATTTCGCCATTTGCATAACGCATCTCAACAAGATCCCGTTTCAAGAAAGTTCAAGAAGGTTTATAAGAACAAGCCAATTACAATGAAATTCTATGGAGCATGGATTCCAGCGGTCGGAAGCTTTATAAATATTAATCCAGTAATTACAGAAAGCAAAGTATAAAAGTACGAGCAGAGCACCAAACGGTTAACAGTTACCACTTGGCAGGACACGTTTGCCGCGGTTGCATGTAATTTAATTCGTACTACAGGTCCAACGGGGGTCAGGTATACTTGGCCACACGTGTCAGCGCGCCGCGGCACTTCCATGTAAGCGGTCGATCCTTTCTCACTCATTCTCACTCCTCCGTCGTCCTCCAGAGGAGGGAGCTCCCTCCAATTCTCGTGCTCCACCTATGCAGTATGCAGCTTACGAACGCAGCGATCAGCACGTAGCTATCTCGTCAGACCATCCGAGTCCCTACTCTGATCTTTATAGATTTCTTCAAAATTGACTGTAGCTCAAGTATAAGGTTTTTGTTATTGGGGAAAAGGAAAAACTTTCTCCGGAATACAGTCGGAGATATCCACTGATAAAGATACGAGGACAGAGAGCGATTGGTCGGATCGATGGCTCTTCTTTCGAGCAAAGGACTTGGCGCATCGCGACTCGTCACTGGACACCGATTGTCTTACCTTTCGAGAAAAGCGGATTAAAGGGGTTGGTCAAAGAGCAGTTATCGCACTGTTGCCGAAGCTCGGGAGAACGAGAGAGACAGAGTACGGAGTGCAGTCGGCCCAGGTAGGACGATAAGGATAACTATATGGCGCTCCTGCGCCCAAGAAGCCGCGGAAGCCAACTCCCCAGCCGATATATACGACTGCAGCAGCAACAGTGGAAACTGTCGAGTTAAATAACAGTCGGTACTTACATTAGAGTAAGTTCGCGCGCAATGAGACCGCCTACATAAATACAGTACGTAATACAGTCCGTGGATTATAGCTGCGTCGTTCCGTAACGTTTACGTTTACGTTATTCTATGTGCTAGGGTTATTTAAATTCTCTGAGCTTGACTCTGTGGTACCTACGAATTCCGAATCTACTATTATACTTCCTAGCTGTTACGACAGAGAAACGGCTCCTCTCGAAACTCTCTCACATTTTGTGCCTTCCGCTTCGTTCGTCGAGAGCCGTCAATTTGCAGAAATTTGCAGAAGTTTGCAGGAATCATTGCGGGCCAATGCATCAAAGCATCTAATTAAGTTGGTGACTATAGGAACGAACTTTAGGTTCAGAATATAGGTATTCTAGGGCTCACAGGATAAATAAATTCGCATATTCAGAATCTTCAGGATCGTCAAGATCACCGTACGACGCCTCTTGTCAGTTCTTCGCACTCTAGTGGCAACTTTCGTTGCACTTTCTCCTTGGTAGAAACTTGGCGCGGAATAGCGTTCGAGCTGGAGCATGTTGCCACTCTTACTTGTTATATGTTTTACCTCTTGTTCCCGTGCAAGAAATTGGAATTGGACTAGTGAGACATTAACTGACTCATTGAAACGAGATTCAGAGTTGGGTTATCGTAAATTAATAAATTCTTATATTGTCCGAGAAAATCGAGCGACAGCGCAGCATCCCGGCTGATGCCGGCTGCAGAATTGACTCGAGTGCGTCGCTCGGCTTGGATGCTCAGCAACGGAGACGAATTGATTAATGCCAAAGGATTATATATTCGTTTCCTCGCTAAACGTCAAGGCAAGTTCGACGATATCGATAGTTGACCTTTTCGTTGGGGCAGGTCGTGACACATCAGCCTGATTTACTTGCAGCTGATATATATCAATGCCCCACGTGCCAAGTGCAGCTGTGTTCAGCTCGTAAGCAGACTAGGCTTAGCGATACCCAAATTACTGGCGCTGAGAAGCAAGCATATTGCTTGATAATTATTAGAAGGAAGAATATTTGAATAATTAAATGATGATGTTACCTTAAGAAGATATAACTTTTGACATCTAAACTGCGCTTAGCTAGTTATGTGTCTCGTAGTCAGTGTTTGGTACTGTACGTTATATGTGTCGTATTATTCGATGTTTTCATATTAATTGGACGACAGCCGATCCTACGGACGCGCAAGACTTTCAATCCTCCTCTACTAATTCGGGCACTGCAGTTCCCAGATTTCAAGAAATTTACAAAATTTCTACCTTTCTTTCATTTTTATTTATTATCGATAAATTAACGGTTTGGAAGCGTGGCGCACGTCCTATCATGCAATCCACTGTAATGAAATGTTCTCGTAAGAAAAGCTCAATGAACTGATCTCTCTCTATTTCTCTCTGTTTCCTTCCCTCTCCCTTCAGCCATCTCTCTTTGCACACAAGGGGTTTGGTTTACACGCAAGAGATTCACCAATATAATATACTTTCAATTCGTTTGTCGAACGTTATTAGAAAAAGAAGTAATCCTAATAGGCCCTTGTTTTCCTTGCGGAATACGACGGCATACGGGATTGCATATCTACCGGTGACCGGTGACCGGTGAATATGCCTCTAGTACCGTATTTCATGTATTATGCTAGCCGGGATTGCCTGTGTTCGATTATTCGGTTGGCGAACAGTGGAAATCCTGAAACGCTAAGGGGTCGGCCGTTGTCCAAAAGAGCGCCCTCACCCTGTTACCACAGCTAAAAAAATCGTAGCCTAGCGCGTGTTTCTGATAACCTGATAACTGATAACGAATAGTAGATAATGATAGTGAGGTGGTGCAGGGGTGGCATTTTGGTGGAAATAGTGTGAAAGTGAACATAGCTGTGTGTTAATTTCAGCAGCGGCGATCCCGCCCCGTATGTGGTCGACAGTACCGGCCGCATGTTCACGTCAAGGTACGTGAACATCCCACATATGCATCTAATCGTCCGCGAGGCAAGGACGTTGGGAGTGGCACACATCCCGATCGGCAAATCGGTCGACCTCATCTCTATCGACCCTCATCGACCCTCATCAACCTCCATCGACCTCCATCGACCTCCATCGACCTCCATAGACCTCCATCGACCTCCAGCGACTTTCAACGAGTACGAGTCATCCTGTGATTCATGTGATCCTGGTTGCCTGATGAGTATCAAGAGAAAAATGACGGGCCACAAGATGCAAGATGCAAGATGACGATGCGCGAGCGAGATCGGGAGTACGCGGACAAGAGAGACCCTCTCTCTCTTCTCTCTCTCTCTTTCTCTCTCTCTCTCTCTTCGATCGGGATGAACTTTGAGAGCCGCTCCGAACGACCTTGCCGACCTTACCTTCTCCATCATTTGCCATTTCTCTCTTTCTCTTTCTCTTTCATCATATCTAACATCTATCTATCCATCTTTGTCTCTCTTTCTGTCTGTCTGTCTCCTACTGGATACCTTTTATCTAGGCATTTTTTATCTAGGCAGTCTTCTTTTCTAGAGACGCTGCGAAATTATCTGCTCTTATAGTTGTGTTTCTGTGCGAAATTCCATAGAGGCTCCGTAGCGTGTCTTCTCTTTCGCATCTACATAAATAGCTCATAATGTATGTATACATAGTCATGCCGTGTGTTCGTTTGTTATACTGAGAAAAAATACTATTTAATTGACTGAATTAGCGTTCAAGGGTGGCAAAACAAATTTTTCTAATTAGTTCAACGAAATTTTTGGTTTCTTCAACAGACGTTCGATTCAATCGACTAAAATAAGGATAATCAGATATTTTGCTATGTTGACTAAAAATATATTTCGCTACCCGTGAACGCGCATTTAGTCAATGTAACAGTATTTTTTCTCAGCGTAAATCATACTCCTTCTACCTATTTCACTATAGAAAGAATATCCAAAAATTATTGCGTACAAGTTTGGAAGTTGAATAAGTATTTCTTACTATTTTAAAGTTATTTTTTTTTTTCTTTGAAATAGAAATAATTATTATCAGCTGTAGGGTACTTTTCTTTTTTATTTGACGTTGTGCGCGACAGGATTCACTCAGATAGACGAATGTGGAATTTACGTGAAGCTAGCACAGTACAAATGGGTTAATCTCGTAGTGATCTGTCGTGTCTCCTAAAAGTGATAATTGCGGATTAAATAAATCTATATACGTCCAAGTGGCTCAGTGCTTTTGGATCTTTGCGGGACGAAAGTTTCACTTTGCGTAGCGAAGGAGATGCTGCCGGTACTGAGGGCGGATGGTAGTGGTGGTCGTCGCGACGGCACTAGAGGTGGATATTGCCGCATTTGATTCCTGAAGCATGTGTGCCCCATAAATAACATGTAAATATTTTCAATAACTGCCGAGGCAGCCTCGGCATGAAAAATGCAAACCGCTTTGCTTTGGCCACGGCTGCCGTCGCTGCCGTATCACCACCATCGGCACTTCCCGTAGCTAGCATCATCGAACTCAGTTTAATATATCTGTATATATAACAGTGTTCTGTGCTAAATTTATTGCGCCTTTCGGTCGGTATTTGTTTCGCATATGACCAATTTTGCTCGACGTTGACTGCGCGAGTCAAAATTAAATGTCATCGAGTTTCGAAATTCCTACTCGTCAAGCTCCAGCAGCCACCACGCGATCTGTCGCTACTCACTGCTCGCAGGTTCCTTAGGATCCCCTCGTCTCGTAGCCTTTGGATACGCCATATTCTCTATATCTATTGTATCTTTCTTTCTTTCTTTCCTTCTTTCTTTCTTTCTTTCTCGTTATTCTCTTTCCCTATCTCATTATTCCTTGATCCCTTCATCCTGATTAAAATTAGTCCTCCAATTCCCAGATCCAGTATAGCATATTAGATCTTTCAATTTTATTAGTCCAGAAGGTATAACATTGACTCTCGAAGCATTTCGCATGTTTCTTCGGGCACAGAAATTCCAGTATGTCTGCTTGATGTCGACCTTTCGTTCTGTATGTTCCAGGGGATTCGGATTTATTACCTTCGCAGATCCTGCCAGCGTCGACAAAGTATTGGCGCAGGGAGCCCACGAATTAGACGGCAAGAAAGTAAGTACCAATGTTTTGTATTCAGCCAACCGAATCATTTACTTGTAACCTGTAAGGCCTTGGCGGCGCGTAGCCGGACCGACGATCAGGTAACCGTCCAATGTGTCCAACGCATTGATTAGTTAGATCATTAGTTCGACTACGTTATGACTGGGGCGCGAGGGAGCATAAAAAGTTTACTAGACAAAATGAGAAATCAGACAATACCGCGTCAACTACAATTCTTTTAGTCCCTTGGAATGGCAGTTGCGGGTAATTCGATCTCTTTCAATTTCATTATTACGATCGTTACTCGCGATTGACTAGCTTTACAAAGGAATTCCCTAAAGAAATTCAAGGAAATACCCAACTCGTCTCGCAGAGCGGGATTATCTGCCTAGAGTGCAGTCGAGTTTTCGCGGGTGACTTTAACCAAGTCTCGCCTAGTCACGAAGTCACGAAGTCACGAAGCCACCGAGTCTGCTCGCGTTAATTAGGAGATGCCAGAAGTGTCCACGTTAACGAACACTCAATGATCGTACTGTGGAAAGAGACGCTGCTCTCGACCCTCTCGACGCTTTCAATTCCTCTTCAAGTCAGAAAGAAGATCGTTCCTGCCAACTCGGCAGTCTGAAAAGAGTCAATCCTCGAGCTACAGGACCCTCAAAATCCGGCTAGGCTACTTGTACTTCTACTGAGTTCAGCTGACCTATTCTAACAATTTTCCAATTCCTGCATAATTAATTGCAATAACAGTCTACAGTACACACTTTGCTATAACCTATTATTAATCGCCTCGAGAATCTGGTTTCATCGAATTGTAGTTTTAAGCCTAAGAAGCACCTATCGAATTATCGGGCTTACCAATATCCATACTGCAAAGAATTGAGGTACTCGGGAACAGGAATAGGAATAGGAAGAGAACGGGTCAGAAGGCCTCCATTCATCTCTGTGGGTCTAGGGCTAGAAAACAGGAGACTAGGGAATGGAAAGATAAACATAGGCAAAAACTCATAGCCTGTTTATGCAAATTATCAGATTTTTGGCAAATTTATGATGGTTAGGACCGAAGAACTTCATGGCTGTCCCTGACATATGATATCGATCGTCGCAGCTGACCTCGTCTTTTTCTTAATATTCCTTGTCGAATTCTGGCAATTTCCTTAAGACTAATTTGTAATTTGGCGAAGACAGCGGGGGCAGACAAAAATTGATCGAATGCATGAACTTTAACTGATTTCGATTCTTGGAGCGCATTAGCATGTAAACACGTAACACGCGTAACACGCGTAACGCGCGTCACGGTGAAGTTGATGTATGCGCAAGCCGGCGACAAGGAAGCTGCACCGCTCACCTGATGACTAACTCATACGAAGAGTCTGCAGCCGCTAACTCTCACGAAAATAATTTGCAATCCCCTTAGAAAATTCGCCACTACCAGCCCCACTAGCCCCACTAGCCCCACGAGCCCCATCAGCCCCATCAGCCCTAGTGGAATCATCGCCAGCTCCTGCTTCTTTTCTTCATTTCTCTTCTTGCCGCGAGTAAGTCTACAATGCCAAAAGCTCCCATTGTCGAATGCTTTTAAATTTTAAATACAAACCGTCTACCTCACCCCCTTTCCGGCGTTCCCTCTCGTGCAACATATCTCATCATCTTCCCATACGTTTCGAAAAGATTTTTTTTAGCACGCAGCATCTGAACTATCCACCGTTGTGTTTTTGTTTACAATTTTTTCTTTTTCTCTCAACTGACTTGTTCGCGTCTCTGTAACCCTACTCTCTACTTGTTTCTTCAACTCTTGGGGCTGTAGATGCTATTTTTTAAATTCACATGGCACGCATTCGACTGCGTCGAGGGCTACGCCGACAACAAATAATCTTTCTATCTCTCAAGCACAAGTTTCCCCGTGCTTTCGAATTGATTGTCTTCACTTAGCTGAGCCTCTAAAAATATGTATACTCCGTAAAGCACTAATTTGAGTGCAATTGATGGAGGAGGAACTGAGCGTGCGCGTGCTCTTGGAATAAAAAACGGGGCCTATTAAAGAGAGCATGGCTGTTGCTGCGAGTGCTCATGTTGATGTTCATGTTGATGTTCGTGTTGGTGCTGCGACTGCAGTTGCAGCTGTTGCTGTTTATATGGCTGCTGGACTAGCAGGTATGTACAGTGGTCAGCGGATGCTGACTCTACGCATTGACAATGGGGACATGGAAAATGCAAAATATATGCGCGGGGGACCGACAGAGAGCCGGATGAAATTATATCGGCGCCTCGCTGGAGAGAGGGCAAAGATAAGGTTTTTGACCCCCCGGTCCCCGCATAAGGATGCGGTGCCCAACTGTCGGCCGATGCCCTGTAGGGTAAGCGGCCGTGAAGGAACTCCACTTTTTACCTACCGATTCGCTGAGGAACGCTCTTGATTCAGTTTAAAGGGACGACTCGAGGGGATCAGTCGATCAGACGAGCAATCAGAACGATTAGTTCCCGAATTTAACAATTTTCGAAGCTCATAGTATGCTTTGCAGCCTTTTTTTACGTTAGATAATTGTATTTCAGCAAAAGCCTGTGACAGTGGTAGTGCAATGTACTGAAAGGAGTTTCATATTTTGTCTCATTTTCGAGGTAAACGGTAACATAGCATTTCTATACTTATAGCGCGCCACTTTCAGTATTTTGCAAATTTTTATCGTTATTGGCCACCATTGCACTTACATTGTAACATTCTTTTTATTATAAATATTCCTACTTTCAACTAGATCAGAATCTGCAGACATATAACTGGCTGGCCTCTATGACGATCAAGAAGAATAAAATTTTCTAAACATCACACGCCACTCTCTATTGTTTTCACCGAAGCTTACTATATACGTCAGGTATAAGAGTCTGGGCGGTGGTTCATCATTCCCCCCCCCCTCCCCCCGCCCGCCCTATAAACATAACTGATTTTCCGAGATTCCTAAATCCAATCACGCATCGTACTGATAAAAGTGAACCTCTCACCGAAACAGAAACATCGGCAGACTCATATCTCGTAAATACTAAATATTAATAATGTTCGAGAAAAAGCCATAGCCATAGATTCTCTATCCAGAAGTACGTCTACCGACCACTAAGTCCCAGCAGCCGTGTTAGGATCGGTCGATCGCGGTTTCATGACGCTACGATCTTCTCGTTTCTCTTAACAACGGTTTGATGAAGGCTTATTTCCAATATTGATTTACGTTTGCTAAGAATGCCCGCCTCACAGATATACATATACATATACATATATGGTAAGTAGATATAAATGGGAAAAATGACGAAGACAAAAAAGCTTCGAGTAGAAGGAGCGCAGTTTGTACCGAGATCGGCTCTTATCATCGGCGAGAATGCTGGTGCAAACGGAGCCGCTACCTGATTTTCCTCTAGAAGGCAGCCGCACTGCTATCACAGTATCCGTTATCGTCGTAATGTCTCGTGCAGTCTATATCTTTCTATGTCGCACCTATATCCCAATGTTTACATGGAGGTCGGCAAGCCGATGTCTACCATCTGCATTCCTGGTTAATCGTGCACCTCCACCAGTCAATCCGTTTTCAGGTTGGGAATATATGCGTCGAATTCTACTCGTTTGCTGTACCGGATAAGTTTCATGCAGCTGACACACGTGGCATAAATTCCAGATGTGCACGCGCGGCCCATAATGTACATATTTACATACATATTTACATATATTTTTGCCTCGGAAGCTCCTGTATTTACGATGTATCAATTTCGGAAAAACGAAAACTGTAGCTGAAAAACTGGATTGCGTTAATGAATTTGCCACGATTTTGTTTTTCTTAGCCTTCGAGGCACACATCCGGCCCAAGAAAGACTGCAAAAGTTTTCGCGCGACTTTGACATTTCCTTATCAAAGCACTCTTCTATTCCGTCGACAATAGTACGAGCTATGCCGATGCATCAACAGTCTACAGGATTTTATCTTGAACCTTGAATTTCTTGAGATAGGACGATCGTGACTGCACCGTCGGGGATGCTGAGTCACAAGCGTCGAAGGTGCATCTAAAATGTGAAAGTCAAAAGGGGAATCGGAAGTTCCACAGAAGTCTGCCGACTGCACACACTTGGTTTCTTTGTAATTTGAGTTTGGTCTGGTGAACCTCGTTGCCTGTGACACTTTGACGCAACCCCGGCTCGCGTCGAGAGTCGGGGCCTGTACGAGGCACGCCTGTACCCGGCAGTTATGAGTTGCTTAATTGTTTTGTCATTGTTCGTCCGTCCTTGTCGCTGTAGGACGTCGAGGACGTCGAGGACGTCGACATCCTTGTCAGTGTAGAGTCGCGTTGTTGCGAAGTGCGGAAGTAGTCATAAGTCAAGATGGTGGCTGAGTAGCTCAGGAGTCGAGATTCGCTGAACGGGCATTGTCCGTCAGCGGTCAGTCCTGAGTTCCTGAGTTGCCGACTCACCAAAATACCCGACAAATCGAATTCTCAATACTTTTGAACTTTTCAGTCACTATTTTGAAGAACGATTAGTGTCTCTCTATCTGCGTTTATAAGGGGATTATTTTCTTTGAGATTATTATTGCAAATACAAGAGCAATGCCCCTTCCCTTTCATACTCGGGGTCCTAATACCTCCCCCTCTCTCTCTCTCTCTCTCTCTCTCTCTCTCTCTCTCTTTCATTCCTGATGGCTGCCGCTTTTACGAGGGGAATAAAAAGGCGAGCGCGCTTGTAAAACAAAATGGGCGTAACATTAATTACTAATTTGCAGTGGCTGTTTTACTGCTGAGCAGGCTCTGGTGCTGGCGAGGTGGGTAAACGTGGTGGAAGAGAGTTGGGACGCGAGAGTGGATTTCATTAGGGCCAAAAGCGAGGAGCACACGAATAAGAGGAAATAACGAGGAGGTTCCCTCCGATTCAGGAAGGGAGGAAACTTTATGACTTTTGCTAGATCATGAGTTTTCATTGAAATCCATCAACTAATTTCTATGTGCAGCTGCATTCTTCTGCGTATCTTATCTATTTCGGTTTTGCTGTTTTCGACTTAGGAGCCTTCTCTTCGTTCGTCACCGTAATACTTTGAAGAATAAAATGGCAAAATTTCCAATAAAGATAAATGTGTCGATGTTCAACAACTCCATAAGCTGCGAGGGTCCGTTCTGTCGAACCAACTGCCGGCTGCACTAGAGAACTGAGAACGATACGAATATAAGTCTGAGCGTGCGGATGCGGGTGACAAGCCGGATTTCGAGTTTCTATTTTTCGAAAAAAGTGCGAGTTCCCGGTTTTAATAAAGTCGGATTAGGTACAAGAGTCCTCCCTCCACTTTTCGTAAAAGAGTTCACCGTGTCAGCAGATGCTAGCTGCTATAGTAGCTCAAACCTTCAACGTACTCGCACGTATGATATTGGTTGGCGCCGAATGTCGGTGACATGATCCAAACCATCTCTGACAGCCTTTAGCCATTATTAAATTGAATTACTTCAATGATCGATACTAGTGTGTAGTAGCAATGACAGCAATGGTAGATACAGTAGCCACGGTATAGCGGTTAAGGAGCCAATGAAATGTGACTTTACTCTGTAAGCAATAACTCTTGAAAATAATGTACACATGCATAGAGAGATTTGAACGGGAGTCCATTTTTATCGGACTATGGACCTTGGTGTCGGTGCGCAGCTGGCGCGAATATTAAAAGCAATCGCTCAGTTCTGCCTCGCAATAACTGACCAATGGTTTCGAGTATCCGAGCATCCGAGTATATACATTCATGGATGTATATATGTTTCTGCGTATATACATATAGTGGGATAGATTATAGGACCACGGAGATCTACTGTGTGGACCTCAGGACCTCTGGACCTCCGGACCTCCGGACTGTAGGGAACCCTCGCGCAATATCTGCCAACGACGGTAGCCTGCACGTGGCTCTGCGCGTGAACGCGTGCGTGTATGCGCCTATGTGTGCGTTACTCTTCCTTCCCTTGAAAGAAGGAGGGCGACACGAAGGTTCACTCGAAAGTCGATGGCTGAGAGTCGATTGCTGTCGAGGCATCGACTGTTCCTCGTTTCCGCGGTCCACCTCTTATTTTTTTTAGGTTATCACGTCAAACTTTGTCTTTACGAGAACCTAGAAATCTTTTCATATCATCTATCTTTCCACTACACCATCACCTTCACCTTCACCACCACCACCACCACCACCCCTGCTCCTACTCGAATTAGAATTTCACAAAACGAAGACTGGCCGACACGCACTTACATAAGTCTAAAACTTCAAGACATTAAAATCAGCCACTTTAAGCCCTCTCGTCTGGCAATCACAAAAGGCGAATTCTGAGTTCTTCGTATGTGCATAAAGTTAGCCCTGCCTTTTTGAAAAAATAAAAAATGACTATACTGAATTATCCTGTGTACTGGCTACATTGTGCTGCAAACACAAATTTGTTATTCATTTTATTTCTTATTATATGGAAATAAAATTTTACTAGGGTGTTACTGGAAATGTATATTTTACTGGAAATTTAAAAAAAAATAATGTTTCAAATGAACGATTTATAAGCTCTAACGTCGTAAACCTGCGACGCCGCTCGACGGTTGTTTTGGACATAGTACAGGATTAGATATATTTGTACGCTGGAAGGACTTTGCAAGGACGCTGTTGGCTTCCCCTAGTGACTAAACGGATTAGACGGATTAGACCCACGTGGACACACTGCACCGAATGGCAAGAACAATGATACGAGGTCTTGCTAGCCAAGTTTATCTATCTTTTCATCATTATTTTAATGTAGCAATCCATTTTACTGTTTTCTCGTAAATATTCGTGTTAATTTTTCTTTGAAGACAATCTATACACATGTATGCACTGTAACGCATTTCCTGCCTACGTCCTTTCTATGACCCCAACGTTGGACTACGCGGATCCCTTGGGCCAGGTGTATCCTTGCACCAGTCCGACTCGTCGGGCCTTTAAATATCTAATCCGCGGCACAACTTTGGGAGTCCTCTCGACGGATTCTTCCCGCTAGCTTCTAATCAAACATAGTAGAGGGGAACGTGAGGGCGACAAATATCTACGGGAATCAGCCGGCATTTTTGCAATAGCTAACATGGGAGGATTTAATTCTAGCAATGGCAATATATTATACCTAGGTAAACGAGTAAATCGAATACAACTCTACAAAACTCTAACGAATAACGCATTCGCGGAGGTCGTCTCTGCTCTCCGCAGGCGGCTCGAATCGACTATCGCGAGGGCACGTCGCGGGGCCTGCGGCCCACGACTTTTCGTGTCATGCTACACTGGCGGATGCACGTCATCCCTGGCCGGCGCGCGGTTTTGCCCCGGGATGGTAATTCTGATTGCACTTACTAAAACTTCCGGTGCACCTTGCCCTTTCTTCCACGGCGATTACCTCCTCGTGGTCGACTGTCTCCTCTCTTAGCCGTTTTTTCTTTTCACTTTGTTTTCAGTCCAAGTCCGTGGGAGAACCGAAGTCGTAAATTGTTATTCAAGTCGAAATCACGTCCAGAGGAAAGCCAAGTCGTCAAAGTCCAATATTTCGCACAATCTCACCACAATCCAAAATCCGCAAACTCACGATAGCACTATCACAATTTTGCCGATTTCTGTTATACGGATCAAAATGAAATAGGCCCCTTTTCGGCCCCCTGTCTGAGAATTCCCGAAGAATCCCGAGTTTGCTCGAACTCGAACGATCACTCTCGCCTCCGTCCGGTGTGCGCTCGCAGCCCACCATAGTCTCCGGGCGGCGCCGATCTTACCCGAGCCCGCCCGATCTTCGACTCGGCGTGGCCGATTTCTCTCCCCGGCTTCCCTTGCCAAGAAACCACCGTCGTCGTGGGCATTCTCTCGGAGTTCGGCGGCTTTCGCCGGTGAACACGACTTTCCGTGTCCCTATGCTTTTATGTAACTGGCCGTCCCGCGGACGTCACGTTACAACACTTACTTAATTCTTTGGTGGACTATATCTTGATTTTCCTCTGGACAGAAAATCTTTAAGAAAATTATTTTTCACGGTTACACTAGTACTTACGTGGTTTGGAAATATGCTAATACCTGTGGTCGGTCCGTGTCTTCAATTTGTTTTTCTTTACAGTTCGTAGCTAATGCAATCCTTAGTAAATCGAACGTCGTTCTATATAAAATAACATAGCTACTTATGTGCTAAAATATAAAAGTAATATATATATATAATAGTGCATATGCATACTTTGTTACCAAAATTGTATGCAGTTACACGTGTACCTTGCTAGAAACATTATTGTTCTCAATTTGTCAAAAAAAAGCACATACTTAGACCACATACGTAAACCAACTAACCTTGGATCATCTAACATTGGAGTTCTAAAGCTGTCTTAAAACTTGGCATGGCCACTACCAAGTCCATCACAGCTTCGCGTACCTATAGACTTGCACAAATTTGAAAATTGATATTTAATGTATATTTGAAGTATAGTAAAGCGGCGCTCACGCCGAATTTTCAAGTTTTCCAATGCTAAGCAGGCGAAGCTGTGACGGACTTGGTAATGGTTATATGCTAAGTCAAGACAGCTTTAGAACTCCAATAACGGATTACCTAAGGTTTAGTTTTTTTAACTTAGTATTACGAGAACAAAACTAGCACAAAATGGTACATTAAGCTTTAAGTGGATCGGTCAGTGCTGAATTCCAACTCAATAAAGGTATGGAGAAGCACGAAATTCACGGTAGACCGCATACGACAATATTACCAAAAATCGAACTCCTAACGTTTAGCCAACATCCCCAATGGCTTAGTTCCTGTATTATTATAAGGGCGACTCTTCCAGGTTAATCGAATTACCCCCCCATTAATTCATTCGCAAATCACAAAAAAATATGAGTTTCAATTTTTATTCCTAAAATGTTTTTCGTTTACAAAAAATTCAATATTAAAAAATTAAATTTAATAACTTACGATATAAAGTATCACACATCGAGCACAATTTGGCAGAATATTTGTTTTTGAAATTAATAAAAAACGCGGGGTTAACTTTGCCCCTAAAACAATTTTATCTCTATATAATAAGAAATAAAAAGAATAAGGAATGTTTATTTTTTCAAAAAGGCGGAGCTAACTTTATGCACATGTTTTTCGTTCTATTTCCTTTTGTGTTGCTGCTACGCGGTTCTAGGAAAACTAGCGAGTATCGTTGCAATGTAATCAGATCTAAAAGAATATGACGCAATCTGGGTCTATTCTCTTAGCTCTTCTTAAGATTACAGAAAAGTGCTCGAAACCCCACTCACTCGCTAAAGGCTCTCTCGTTCTGTTACAGATCGACCCGAAGGTAGCATTTCCTAGGAGAACACACCCAAAGGTGAGTGTGCCCAACACAAAAATAATCTACTCATTGTTCATGCACGATACTAATTGATTTTGGTTTACTACTATATTGCGACTTTCTTATTTCGGACTTACGGCTTCTGACATACATATAACGTGTACCTATCATGCTGTATGTATTGTTAGCTATGACATTTACTCTCATCCCTTGTAGCAGTATAACAGTGCCCTTATCCACTTTTAAGGAATTAGCACTCTCTGTTAGCTTAAAAGTCGCTTAAAAGAGGTATGAATAGGTATTCCACTAAAATGCGTCTTTTATAGCGCCTCTTAAGGATATTTCTGTGAGAGTGTCTTAAAACAGAGGCATGAAGAAGGGCCTTAATCAACATACCGATTAAGAGTTACACGGAATGAAATGTTCAAACCGTTACAGTGATAGATCAAAAGCTTCGGAATAAATATAGATATAATATCGAAACCTAAAAGTAAAAGTTTAAAGCAATTGGTGAATCTAGAATTTATAACGGTGTAGAATTTCCATAAAATGCCGAGACTTCTTTCAAGAGAATAATGCGAAATCAATAGAGCTCCAGCTCTTGCTGGAGTTAGAAGATGAGGAGGATCAAGAATGCCAGAAGGTTGTAGATTGACTTTTTTTTACTGCGTATTCATGTTATTAGAGTGGCTAGAACGCTTTTTCCTTCGCAGGCGCTTGTAACTTGAAACTCTCAACGCTTGCAACGAGACAATTCCACAATTCCAGCGCGTAGGAGTAAAAAAATAATAAAATTCCTATTTGCAAACTACTCACATACGCCCTTAAAGTGGAACTACTTTTATTTCCAAGCAACAAGGGACGCTCCCTCGGATACCTCGCAAAGAGACAAGGGGCTGTGTGTCGCAGGGCTAAATACACATTAGATCGAATGAACTTTCGGGAAGGAAAATGTTTCGCCGCAAAGTTCATTGAAATGTCAGTAGAGACGCACGGCTGGAAGAGCACGTGGAGGAGGTGGTGGCGCCATTTGACCTCCTTAATAGGGATAAATCCAAATAAGAAAGGAACGAGAAGAAGACGAAAAGAACGGGGCACGTGGAACCACAAGATACTTCCGTCACTCTTGCACGCTCTCCCCTCTCTCTCTCTCTCTCTCTCTTTCCCAGGTGCCCGACGTACATCGATAGTTTGACATAATTTTTGGACTCATGGTCAGAACCGGCGACTCCAGCTACCGATTTAGATAACGTTCTCGCTTTCCGGTTCCCTTCGAGTCGCCACTCTGTTCAGAAGCTACGCTCTCGGATTGATTCTTAGAGTTACGCCAATGCACTCCGAAGTTTTTTCATTGTTTAGCTGTCATCGAGATGCTGGAATCTGCCGCGGAGAGAATGTCTCGACGTGTACCGTCGTGTGAGTCGCCCGTCGGAGGAGAGTGCCCTCACGGGGACGTCTCCACGGATCGGCAGGGATCCGGGTGAAATTATACTGGCACCTCGTTGAAGAGAGGCGAAGGGCTGTAGAGCGGGCGGAGATAAGGATTTTTGATACCGTCAAGGCCAGGGAAGGAGAATCCCCTGGCCCCGCATAAGGATGCGGTGCCCAGCTGTCGGCCGATGTCCTGCAGGGAAAGCGGCCGTGGAGGATCTCCGATTTGCTACGTACCAATTCCTTAAGAAACTGTAGGATAGCTCGACTCGAATCGTAATCAGCTGCTACACTATTATAGGATTCTTTAAATGTTTAAGCCGACGGCTTATCGCGGAATTGACAGGAGGATTATTATTGAAATGACTCAACGTAAAACGTTCGACTATGGGGTTGATTAGCGTAACGAACATACACATACACGGGCACGCGTACAGACTAACTATCAACATCAGCGTCAGCGTCAGCGTCAGCGTCAGCATCAGCATCAGCACGGGCTGTAGCAATATCACCAGCAGCTACGTATAATACCCACTTGTTACCGAGTAGAGCGATAGCTATGCATACGAATATATGCGCGTACATAGATGTAGGTAGCTGCTATGGATATACATAGGTGGGACATTATTCAGCGCGGGTTGGCAGAGGCGCGCGGGTGGTAGAAGGAGATGGGTGCGAGGGTGCGAGGGTGCGAGGGAGTCGCACCACGTCTCGCGTAACGAGCTGCCGGCTGGTTCCCCAGGGTCTTCAGTTCCTCCATTTCCTCGGACTCCTCACCTCCCTTCGCTTCTTGCTTTTACTCTGCCCAGCTCAGCCTTGCACTTGCACGCGCACACCTATCACTCTCGTATTCTACCTTGTGCTGCTGCCACGTCCTTCCCTTCAGCCAGCTATCCTCTCCGGGTCTTCTTCGTGCCGCCGGCTTACACCGGGAAGCTACATTCGACTTGTCAAATGCCACCGTAGGCAACGGTACTAGTCGAATCAAAACGCAAGCATGCAAGAATGCCCGTACTCGTACGAGTTAATAACTTCATTTATGGTTTTTCTATCAATGGCATCCATTGGCAACCCCGTGCAGGAGCCATTGACAACCATTCGGCAGGCTTCGGACAGATGAAAAACACAACAAGCCGTTCGAGTAAAATCTGCGTCCGATGCGCGAGTCGTAACGAACGTGCCTGAAATCGTGTCGAGAGGAAAGAAGGAGGCGCGACGGGCAGGCACGTTGCAGGCGGCGCATCCATTTCCCCTTAATGCCGCTCTCTCAAAAGACCTGTTACGTTCCAGGACGTTCCAGTAAGAACGCTCAGAAGCAAACCTCCGAGCAAAGCTTGTAGTTGTAGTTGTATTGCAGAAAAATCCCATGCATTTTATAGAAGGGGCGAGCTCATTCAGAACGTAAGCGTTGCGACGCCGGCGTCAGTTCTAAGAGTCTCATTGTCAGTGCGAGGACACGCGAACTAGCCTTGCCGGGCTGTGTGCGGCTACGTGTGCGGCTACGCGCTCTCTTCTCATCTCCTTTCACGCCATTCGATTCCTCTCCCCCCCCCCCCCC